TTTTTTTTTACTAATTTTCATTAACAAAAAGATACACGAAATTTTATAAAAATTATTTAATCGTAGGTGTGTAACAGCGTGTTCTGAATTTTTCGTATTAAAAAGTTACGATTTTATACAAATATTTTTCACGGAAAATAAAAAAGATACGATATTGAAATTGGACCATCATATTTGTCAATGTTTAAAGATAATAAATATTAATATTAAAAAATAAAATATGTATAATTGTAGAAATTACATATTTTTCAAAGTATTGCAGTAAAACGCGTCTAGGGGTTTATGGTGTATTCGCAAATTTTATTTATTGTCTATAAATGTGGATGTTAACGTATCGAAATATACAAATAAATGAATTGTTATTAACAATAAGTGTTACGAGGACCTACAGCATACATTCCATGAGAGTGTACGGCCTTCGAATGAAAAACCTATGAAGGAAACCTTTCTTTCGGTAGGATAAACCAAACACGAAGACGAATTTGAACGTGAACGACCGAACGTATGAACTTTGTAAATAAACGTTTAGTATACTCGTGAATTCCGTACGATACGTTCGCATAACTAAATTGTTGTAATATTATTCTATCTTTGTCTTATTCATTGCAACGTGTATATTATTTGTTTATAATATTATAAAAAATACAACACACACAGAGAACAACTTATTGTATTGTCAGGTATAAGGACAAATAACAAATGAAAGAAAATAGGATAATTATTTTATTATTAATTTTACGTTTATTGTTTCAACTTTGCCAAAAAAAAAAAAAAAGAAATATATCAAATATTTGTCGATTCATCGTGAATAGGTTTAAACGACGCAATAGTTGATTAAAAAAAAAAAAAACAAAATGACTCGTCGTTAAAGTTAATCGATCAATAATTTTTAAACGTTATCGCGTATATTAGCTCCCCATCCCCACTTCTCCCCCCTCCGAAGAAAAGAAACAAAAAACAAATTGAAGTGAAACGTTTACAGAAAAATTTAAGTAGAAAATAAATCGGTCGTATATATTTAACTTTAACAATATTTGAAAATATTGAAATAATAATTTTGCATTCACAAACACACACGCGACAAAGTAAGAAAAATAATAGAAAGAAAATAAAAAGAAATTATGCGTGCAACGTCAAAGAATAAATTGAAAAAAAAAAAAAAACAAAACAATAATTATAATTAAGTAATAATTATTTATTAAATACGATTGCGTTATCTACAAATAAGTGTTAGCTAAAGCATGGGATAATTTATCTCTTTCAGTTTCTACCTAATTCGTACATTTTGAGAGTTGCATGTCAATGATACATTTCGATCGGTTTACCATGGTGGTATCTTTGTCTTTTAATTTCTTTTTTTTGTATTATCTTTTTTTTTTTTTTTTTGTTAAAGTATACTCTTTTTTTATATAGTAGGTTTACCATTTTTTTTTTTTTTTTGTATTTTTGTGTGTTCGTCGTACCTGCTGCGTTTCATCCCTTATCGGGGTGTTGTTATCTCAGTTGGCACACGATCGTTCGTCCAAGTGTACAATCGAGTCCAAAGCTCGGGGAGGATCATCGTGCTGCTTTCTCAGGGTTGTTGATTTTTTTTAATTTTTTTTTTTTCGTTCACGAACATTGTCGCCAGTCTTCTTTGTCGTCTTTGTCGTCGTTTCCTAACCATTGGCAATCGTGGAGTCACCGTTTCCTACTACTACTACAAAAACGACCAAGAGATATCGTTCGTGTCTCGTGATCCGATAGCACTCACGAAGCGAGGTGAGTCCTCTCTCTTTCTCTCTCTTTCTCTTTCTCTTAGCGGATAAGAATAACGCGACGGCAAAAAACGAGCATACGAGTAAGCGCATATTCTAATACTGGCAAACACTTAGAAAACACTTAAATACAGGTTGTCCCAAAAGTCTCTATTTTACAAATATTTCAAACGATATTATTTATTATTTAACGAATAATATTTGAAACGATTTTTCTTTTACAGGTCAATAATAATTTTTTAACAACATTAACCGAGATCTCATTTCTATCTTGTAATATCGAGTTTTTGTTTGTTTCGTTACGAGAGTCAGTGGGTTCAGAAGTTTTTTCTTTTTTTTTTTTTTTTTTTTTACGTGTTTTTCAGTTTGATCGATACACATTTCTCTTTTTCTATGAATTTTGAATTGATTTGATTTATTCAAACTTTTGGGACACCCTGTAAATTTAGATGAGTATACAAATACGAATGCGTATGTGTGAACGCCGCGACATACACAGAGGAGGAGAGGAGGTCGTGTGTCAATCGTCACCGAGAATCTAGCGGATTATAACACGTAAATCGAGAATAGGCGGGGTACGTTGCGTTGAAAACGTTTGCACCTGTTTATCTTCGTCAAATCTTTATATGGTAAACGTTTCTTTTTTTTTTTTTAAATATATATTTTCTCTTTTTTTTTTATGGATATGTATGCATATGTGTATAATTATGATTACGAGAGAGAGAGAGAGACTATTCCAATTATTATTATAAAGTTCATAGTATTCATTTTTTTTTTTTTTTTTTTTTTTTTTTAAAGAGTTGCTTGCTCTCTTTTTTTTTCTTTCTTTTTTTTTTTTTTTTATCTGCAAACAGATTTTATGACACAGCTAATCTATCCATAAATTATTTTCGAATAATATGTTACGTTTTATTTTAGCATTTGAATTTGGGTTTAATTTTTTATACTAAAATGTAACATTGATGATTTTCATTAAATATTGTGTCACGTTAATCGATGATGTTAATTAATATTATTAATTCTTCACAAAGAAAAAAAGAAGAAAAAAATATCGTGAATAAAAATAATGAAAAAGAAGAGTCGGGACTCTTGTCGTCAAAGAAAAATTCTTCAATCGATAGAAAGAATTCTTCGATCTTGTTCGATATATAGCGGGAGTTTTAAGAAGAAGAAGAAGAAGAAGAATAAAAGGACGAAGAGGACGAATAAGAATAAGAATAAGAATAAGAAGAAGAAGCAAAGGATGAAAAGAGTAAAGAAACGGAGAATCTGGAAGTATGTTCTAGCGATGGTATCGTTGTTGTTCGTGGGTTCTGCGGTTAGGTCGGTAGCGCCATGCTGCCATTCGGATTGGTCGATTTTATAAGGTTTGTGGGTGTGATTAGAGTACGTAGTGGGGGTTAGTAGGAAACGATTGGTTAGGGAGTATAATGGGCGGTAACTGTAAGGACACTCTCTCTCTCTTTTTGTCTCCTTGTTCCTCTCTTTCTTTCACCGGGATTACCACTACAGAAGAAGAAGGTTGGTTGGTTGGGATGTATGGCACGTTCTCGTACGGTAAGGCCGGCAGGCCTCGGCAGTACACGAGCCGCTTCTTCGAAGCGAGCACCGCATCGTGTTTTCGCGCCTCGGCCTCCAAAGCAACCCTCCGAACACGACAACGACAACCACGACGACAACGACAACGACAACGACAACGACGACAACCACGACGACGACAACGACAACGACGATGACGAATTAACTCGACTTGATATCTCGAGAAAAGTCACCCCCGTTACACACGATCGCGTCAATTTGCACGCGATTATACGACTACCACCACCATCACCAATCACCATCACTACCACCACCACCACCTGCTTCTTCTCGATACATACGCATACATACATACATACATATACATTAATATCAATACATATATATACATCGACATATTATCACATACGTGCGTGCGTGCATCCGTGCGTGCGTGTCTGCCAGCCTGCCTGCCTGCTTGCTTGCCTGCGTGCGTGCGTGCGTGCGTGCGTGCAGGTTTGCTTGCATACGTACACGTGGATACTCTTGTATATATATATAAATATTTATACACGCGTTTATGCATTAATATTTCCCCTCCCCCCCATTCACCCACCCATCCACCCTTCCTTTTTTCTTATTTTTCTTTTACCCATTTTCTTTCGATATATATTTTGTTTTCATCGAACTGTTTTCGGAATAGTCGGATTAGTGTTATGCAAGCGTTGTGTATGAGCCGAGAGAGGAAAAAGGAAGAAAAGGAAGAGGAGGAGGAGGAGGAGGAGGAGGAAGAAGAAGAAGAGGAAGAGGAAGAGAAAGAGCTTGCATCGGAGAGATTGTTTGTTTCGTCGAGTCGTCACGTGATCTTTGAGAAACTTCGTGAAAAGATTGTCAAGTGTGTCACACGTTGTTACTACGAGGGTTGTGAATAACGTTTTTCTAAAGAGATGTTACGTGAATTCAACGATTTGGTGATTGTTTATTTATYTATCGTGTCGAAATAAATCCTTCGCGATGTGTGATCATCATATATTGGATTTACGGCAGGAACTACGACGAGGAAAAGTTTTTATTTGATTTGCGATATCCCTGAAAAAAGAAGGGGAGAGAAGAAAAACAGATTAAAAAAAAAAAAAAAAACACCATCATTGATTACACAGTGGATGACGAGTTATCACTCGAACGTTATATGCAATGTCGAGACAAAAGTCAGGATGATTTTTGGCGGTAATCGTGGGAGGTGGTGGGAGTGCAACGCGAGTTTTTTATTAATATTGTATCATCGGAGCTCGAGTTTTGTTAGCGTAGATAGGTGGATCGTGGATAGTGAACATTTTGTCATTAATTGAATAATTAAGAAGAAGATCAGTAAAAGAGAGAGAGAGAGAGATAAGGTTGGTCGTAGAGAGCAAATAGCAAATAAGGTAGACAAGAGAGTGAGAGAGGGTGCATCATCAAGAACGGGTAGTAAAACGGCAGCTGCTGGGGAAGGAACGATCATGCTCGACGAGTTTCGTCGAGGATGACGTAGCGTCGAGCGGAAGCAAGGGGCGTTACGGTTTGCACGGTGTACGCGCTGGATAGAACCGCCTCGGCGGGGTTAGGGGTGGTCGGGGGTGGCGGTGGAGTCACCAGCAGCAGTAGCAGCAACAGCAACAGCAGCGGTGGAGGAGGGGGTGGAGGAGGAGGAGGAGGAGGGTGCGGGAGTGGTGTAGGTGTCGGCGGTGTCGGTGTCGGTGTCACGGCACCGAACCTGATAAACGTTTGTGGACCACCCGGAGCATCCCTTGCACCGCCGACGGATTACACGACGGCTGCAGCTGCGGCTGCAGCAGCAGCAGCGGCGGCAGCAGCAGCGGCTGCAGCGGCGGCATGTTATCCCACGGGATCCCAACAACAACAACAACAACAACCACCACAACAACAACAACAACAACATCCTATATCCCATGTCGTTGATACCACGATGACGCCAACGTCAGCACCTGTGCCGACCCCGACTTCGGCTTCGGGTCCTAACAATCCTGTTGCCATGAGTCAACTTGGTACTGTCTATGCTACAAAAAGAAGACGAAGAAATGGCAAAAGGTTTGTATATATTTGAAACATGTTTTATGGTTTTTTATTTTTTTTTTATTTGATGCGTTTATCGAAGAAGATGTTAGACAAGTTGAAAGAACAAATGTGATTATCTTTGTAAATCATAGTGGTGACCGGTTGCTAAACGTAAATCATCATGATTTGTATCTCGATAAGATAGCAGGTAACTTGGATAAATATAAATGTCATTCTTATCGTGATCTATTAGAATCCATACACCCAATCTTCGTCTTACTTGGAACAATTTTCAAATATGTATATGTACATTTTGTTCTTTCAATGAATTTTACAAACGGATATCTAGTTAGGTTGTATAACAAACGCAGTGTTGTCAATGAAACCAAGAACGATAACTGACGAAACGACTCACGTGCAGTTTAATCGTTCGAATGGGACGATAGCACACCGAGTATCGTGATCGTCTGCATAAATCATGCGTGACTTTGAAGGTGTTAATGGAAGAGAGGCTCGAACTGCTCGAACGCGTAGATAGGTAATTGTATCCATTTAGAGACGTTTCTAAATACATTAGACAGTGTCGGTTAATCGAGTGTTGGATATTTACGTGGATTTCCTTTTTGTTTTTCTTTTTTGTTTCTTTTTTTTTCAAGGATAATTGCCAATTATTAATTCGACGTCATTTAAAATCAATCGACGATTTAATGTTTCGTGTCTACTGTGCGCGTACGACGCAACATTTTTCTTTTCTTTTTTCTATATATATATACAAAATTTATATTTATTTATAAATAACTCTCTTATATATATATATATATATATATATATATATGATTTTTCGTAAGAAGTAATAAATGAAGGAAAAACTCGTTTGAAATTGGTTGACATTTATGTTTATGAATATTTGTACAGAACCAAAAAAATCTCTCTCTCTTGATATACATATTCTAAATGTAGATACTACTCTTACGTGATTATTTTTAATGTTAATTTTGAGTTTTATTTAACTGAAAATATCGTAGAAAGTTTATACAGTCGAGATATATCTAAGTCGTATGAGAAATTTCAGTTTATCTTTAATGCAATCGAGTAAAATCCTTTAATCCTTTAAAAAACGATATCTCCCAACGTCATCTTTCTCGTCAGTTTATTATTGTTCATTTTATATTTTATTTATTATTATCATCATCATCCCGTGTTAACTTCGTTCGTGCAACAAACACGTGCTTCTTCTTCTTCTTCTTCTTCTTCTTCTTCTTCTTGGTTTGGCCGTTAGGAACGAAAGCACGTGGCTTTATAAATCGAAGAAGGAATTACACGTATACACCCTCCTCGTGCGTATCGAACGAAAGAAGATACGTTCTTCGTGTACTGGGTACTAAACGTAAGCCGACGGCAACATAATGCGCGCTTGATTACGAACGAATGTGAAATTAAATGTTACAATCAATTTTCCAACTGAATTTTCTACAACTTACAACAACATTTTGTTTTCTCAAATGATCAACATTGTGGAATCGTCGTCCTATATTATTGCAAAATATTCCTATGCAATTTTCTTGACTAACTATTTAAATATATATTTTCTTAATGAGTAAGTCAAAGTATCTAGATATTAATTCGAAATATCTAAATAAATGATAGGCGTGACATTAAAGCGTTAAAAATCATTCTAATTTAGTTATCAGATTAAAATTAACATATCCTTAGGTAAAATACACGAAGTATGTTTACTTTTTTTGTTTGGTGTCGTTGTTGAAATTTTGCTACGTCAAGGGATCGTTCACCGGAATAGTTATCTCCTTGAAGAAGGGGGGTAGGGGGAGGTTATCTTGTCGAGGATACATTCGTAAGGAGAGACCTAGCTCGTGATCTCTCAAGGATCACGAAAGAACGTAATGGAGTTTTAAACGGTGTTTGAAGGTGTAGGTGCATAGGCAACAGGCAACAGGAACGTCGATTCGCTTTCTCTCTCTCTCTCTCTCTCTCTCTCTCTCTTTCGTCTCTTTTACTCTTCGGCTTTCGTTTGATACGCTAAAGAAGAAAGGGAAAGAGAGTCAGACGTATTCCCTCGAATGGGGGAATGCCTGGAGGCTTTCTACATGCCTGATTCATCTTTTGCTACCTTGGCTCCTTCGGTTTCCATCGAGGCGTCGATCTACGAACAGAGAGAGTTCTTCTTCCCATATCCCTCGGGCCATAGGGATTTCGATCGAAACCGTTTGCCCTTTTGAAAAAAAAAAAGGAAAAAAAAGACAAAAACAAAACTAAAAAGAAAAAGGGAGAATAGTGATTTTCCCGTCAACGCACGTACAACGCAATATTTGATTTTTAAATGAAAGAATTTGTATTCCCATGTGAAATATTTGACAAAATATTCGAAGAAAATGAAGAAGTTGAAAATAAAATAAAATAAAATAAAATAAAATAATAAATCTAACGTAAATAAGAAATAGAGATTTGTTTGAAATGACACAATGTAATAGAGAAAGAGATTTATCTTTAACGAGATTGAGCTTACGCGCGTCGTATCTGTTGTATGTAACGAGGGCAGAACTTGGAGTTTCCCTCAAATTTTCGATGGTTCGAGGAAGAAGTTGGCTTGCGATGCACGCCGACTCTTCCCGTGGCCTAATGACAGCAGCTTCTATAATTTGGAGTTTTTGAACGAACGGCTAAATTACCGGCGAACCAAGGGATTACTGTTATTACACGCGGCCGCGGACTCAGTCGAAAGCTGATTATACTTTAGTCAGTCTCTCTTGATCTTGACTCGTTCGACTGTCAGCTTCGCTCTCGTTCGCCCTTCTCGATCTCGAATACAAGTAGACGACGGCTCGAGAAACGACGGGCCCTTAACTTTAATTCCTCTTACTGTGATCGTCCAAACGATTCGTTAATCTCTCTTGCAAATACTATTTGATTTTTTGTTTTGTTTCTTAAACACACGCTTCGTTAAACGCGAGCTTTTTTTTCTTTTTTTTTTTTTTTTAAATAACGAATTAATTTGATACTTTGAATAATGCAATTTTTACATTGTATTCATTTTATTTACTTTTATGGGGGTCTCTTAAGACAATTGTCCACATTACCGGTGACCACCATCATAAACTCGTTCAACATATTAACGAGGAAAATATTATTATTGAATATTTATAAAAAAAAAACAATATATTCTTGTTAATTCGAAACGTTGCAACTGAAAGTTAAGTGAAATTTATCAATCGTCGAATGGAATTTAAAACCATTAGGAGAAAAGCACTTAAAACTCCCGAAGGTGCATCGAAGTTAGACCCCCTGATCATTCTCCCATCCATAGTAGACGTGGAGCAGAGCCACCACGTTTTGGTTGATTAGTTCTTAAGTAATTGCCGTGCATCCTTATGACCTTATAACGTGGTTTTATAGCCTTGTAATGAACCTGCTTCCAAAGACGTTAGCCTCGGTTAAATCAAACTTGGCTGCTGTTATACGCTTCGAATATTTTCGTTGGTCGTGTGTTTCTAAACGATTTTTTTTTTTCAAAAAAAAAAAAAAAATCATTCTATGCGTATCATTAGAGTATTTTAATTTTTACGTATACAATAAAAAAAAAAAAAGAAAAAAGAAGAAAAAATTGTGTCGCAGGAAGAAAGGAGAAGTGAAGAATTTCATTGGGTATTAATCGAGGATATAATTTACCTACTCCTTTCCAGTCTTGGAACGTTGCACAGCCTGTAATTTAATAGACTCGCCTTACGTTAGTCAGAGGCCCAAGAGATGCGTTTCGCCCCGTGTAACGCGTATATAGCCGATTCGCGACAAGACCATTACTCGCGGAAGAGTCATAACTCCCGTAACCCGCCGTTCCAAACAGATTTAACACCTCGTATCCAATTATGATTGGTGCTCCATTATGGTTATACCAGAGAGAGAGAGAGAGAGAGTAGTAGTAGTAGTAGTACCTTGCTTCCGAAATGAAGATTCCCTGGTATGCATGCCAACAAACATAAAATGTAATATGTTTCTTCTTGTAATACTTGGAATTCGTATAAAAATAACTCGAAATTATTTCGATTCCCTTTCGATTATGCGAATCTTATTTTTTGTTCATCTTCATCTTTCAAAATAATAAAAATAAATTCACTCGTGTAATTGATTGAAAAAGAAAAAGAAAAAAATGTTTGATCGTAGTTAAGATAGGAACGCGTCTATTAAAGGGACAATCAATCGGTAGTACACGTTGGTGTAGGAAAAGTGCAAAAACGATTCGAACCGAACGGTGTGGTGTGTTCAATCTTTCGGCGTTCCAGGAGTGCTGAATGGGCCGCACAGCAAGAAATATCCGTCCTCGTGGTTACGGCACCGTGAATAGAGCCATAACGAAGTGAAATGTGCAGGTGAATTTATGCTCCAGGAACGGACGCTGTTAGGCACTCGTTTCTTCAACGTGGGACCAATAGTTACCTATCGAAGTATACCTTCAAGCGAACCAAACAACAGAAGAACACGACAAAACGTGATTTCCCTTTCTTACAATTTCTATTTATTATTTTAAACAAAATATGCATATATTTTAGAGATTAATTGATAACAAATGTCAATGTCTCATTGATTAATTGAAAATTTCAATTGTATTAGAATTTGTCTCAAACGAAATTCTGATTACAATTCGTAGGTTCAAAGTTAGGAAAAAATAAAAGAGATAAAAATTTGTTTACAACGGCTTAGAGTCACTAACGTTCAAAGTAATCTTAGAAAAGGTTTGAAATTTTATTTGGAAAGAGGCGGCCCTGTGTGTCGGTTGGCAACGATGTATCTCATCCGGATTTGGGCCCAGACTTCGAACCAGCTTTTCGACCGGTACGGCGCTGTGTGTTTAACTATTCAATAATTCATCCCGCCATTCATCACCAACGAAGTGTAAAATTTATCTTATTTTTATGTATTGGCCCCCTCCAGTTCGCCCCCACCATGAATCAAACTCTTATTAGTCTCGATTTGTTTGCTGAGCGCGGGCGAGATCTCTCTCTCTCTCTCTCTCTCTCTCT